GGGGGGGGGGGGGGGGGGGGGGGGGGGGGGGGGGGGGGGGGGATGCAAATGCGAGTGCGAGCGTGAATATGGGTAGGTTTTGGTGCAAATGTGAGTGTGGGTACAAATTTGATTGTGGGCGGATGTGACTGTACTTGGGTGTGAGTGTGGATGCGACTATGGATGTAGATGTGAGAGATGCGATGGCTGTAAATGTCCATCATTTCTTTCCCCACTCACACTCATTCCCATGTCGGGAAAGCCAGTGCCCGAGGAGCAGTTGTAGCTGGAGAGCAGGTGTCGTGGAAGCAAGTGTCGCTGGGGAGCAACTGTCGCGGGAGCATCTGTCATGGAACCATATAATATAATCAAAATAATTTTTTTTTAGTTTCACTTTTTTTTTTTTACCCAAATTAATTTTCATATAACTTATTGAAAATCTTTGAATCTAAGAATTTTAATTTGTGAAAAGACATTCTAGTTCATATGCCCTTTTGTAGTGATTCGCAATTTGTTGATAGTATCTTTCGTCTTTGACTATATTTCACTTTCTGCATTATTGTGAAAATTTTCAGTACAGTTATTAGAAAATTCAGTTTTTATCGATTAAAATATGGATGTTGTAAAGCTGCTCTTGCTTTTAATCGTCGTTTTGGATCATAAACAAGTAAACATTTTAAAAAATCTAAACCTTCTGGTCCAATCAGTTTAGTCAATTCATATAAATGATCATTTCGTCTTGGCCATCGTGGAAAATCAGCATTAAAATAAGATTGTTTATGAAACGATGGCCAAATATCATCTGTTGGTGTACCTTTAAAACCATTCAATTAGAAAGATACAAACTGAAGTTAATACAAACCCATCATAGAAAATATACAAAAGAGTAATTCAATTTGATGATTACCACGAAATAATGGTTCAATTTGAGTTGATGAACATAATTGAGCAAAAACACAACCTATTGACCACATATCTAATGAACTATTAAGTGTTCGATCACCAAGAACTAATTCTGGTGGACATTGAGAAAAACATGACAGCTAATTTAAGACAATAAAATAAAGTTTTTTTTTTTTCACATTTATAAATTCATAGTCTATTTGAATACGTACATCTGTTGTATTAATTGTCATTGTTGGACATACAGCATGTTTAGCATATTCAAAATTCGATAATTTAAGTTGTCCTGTACGTGTTATAAGTAAATGTTTTAATTCAATAGCACAATGATAAACAAGTCGATCATGACAATAAATAATAGCTGATAAAAGTTGATATAAATATGTTTGTATTTGTTCATTAGTTAATTGTTTTTCTGTACCACCATATAATAAACCATGTGTTGCTAAATCACGATTATGTGTATAATCAAAAATAAAATAAATCGAATTATTTAATGATAATGTTGGTAAATATTTAATTGATAAAAGGGATAAAATATTTGGATGTATATTATAATTATTATCATTCGAAAGTATACTACGAAGAAGATAAGCTTCATTAATGGATGATGAACTAAGAAGTGGAAGACTTTTTCTAGAAAATAATATCATTAAAATAAAAACATAAGTGTTTATATGTGTTTTGGTTTTTTATTAATTATTACACGCAAATTATTTGTTGAGTTGGTTGATGAATTGCCTTGAAAATCGATTTACAAATTTCTGAATCAATTAATATACCATGATGTTTTCGAAGCATCATTGTCCATGATACAGCCATTATTATTTTGAATAAATAAATTAAGAGAGATAAAATTTTCAAAAAGAAGGGAGATATATACCATCGAACAAATAGAATATTTAATACAGATGTCACACATATACCAACTCCAAAAGTATTAATTATAAGAAGACAGTATAGATCTTGAAGTCTTATAGATATTAAAAAAAGAAAGAAATAAGAATGTTAAATGTTGTATTTTTTAAACTATGTATTAGTTCATTTTTCTTGAAAAAAAGAATTCAGAAAGTAATCAGACAACGTCTTTGGTCAAAATAAATCGAAACTTACAATTTCGTAAGTTTATGAATTTAGCTAGAGTTTTTTTTAGTGTATTCATTTGCAACAAAAGCAAACAATGAAATCAATTTCTTCGCACTATAGCTCATTAAAAAAAATGAGTCAATTTTCATTGTTTTGATCTGTTCGAAGCAGTGAATTCTGAATAACTTCTGATCCAGACGTTGTTATAGTACTCAACGAATAACTTTATCCTTTAGCATAATTGAATAAAAAATAAAAGATCACCGTTTGAATTAAATTTTTCGGCTGAAAGAATCTAAACATGTGGGCGATCATTTTTTTTTAACAATCTGACTTAGTGCACAATTTTTCAGAATAAAACAAAGAAGTTTTTTACACCACAATAATATTCTGCAATTGAATTAGAAACCCAGCATTATCCGGACCTAGAAATTAATAAGATGTCGAAGTTTTAAAATATTTTTACTTTTCAAATTATTAATTTATAAGAAAGCACAGGGGGGTAAAAGCTGATTCGGTCATGATTAGCGCGTTTATTGTACTTGCTAACACATCACAAAAGTGAAAAGCAATATTATTTTACTAAAAGAATACGTTTTTAATGCAAATTTATTTATGAATGATGATGAACCAAATAATGAAATAGCTGAATACACAGAGAGAAAAATAAATTATTGCAAGGAAGCAAACGTATAGTTAGCGAAATTGATCAAATTTTAGAAGCAGAAAGACATCAAATGAATCCTGAATCTTTTGTTTTTTTTTTTCGTGGAATTTAATACTTTTCCATATCTAATACAAGAGTCGAAAACTGTACTATGACAGAGAACAAATTTGCAGGTGTGATTTCATTGATGTTATCCCCTGTCTCACTCTGCTACTTGCTAAATAGATACGTGTGAAAAGAATCCCGAATACTAGAAAAAGCAGATCACCTACATAGAAAAACTTACCTAGTCGAAAAATTGAATCGAAACCCTGATCTCTTATTTTTATTCAATAATTCTAAAAGATAAAGTTAACCATTAGGTACTATCAAACGAAATCCGGATCAGAAGTTATCCCGAAGTCACTGTTGTGACAAGATCAAAACAATCAAAATTGACTAGTTGTTAATGAATTGTGATGCCGAGAAATCGAATAATTTTATTATTCTTTTGTCAATACTTTTAGATGTATCTAAACAAGCCGATTGATAGTGACTGTTTTTCGCTAAAGATTAAAACATCTGTAACGATAATGATAACTTTAACATTCTTTGCTATTCGCTATATAGACTTTATTATTCACTGTCTAGGAAGTTTATTTAGATTGAAGCAAGATTAGAAATGACTGACTTATATTTAATTGGTAGGCTGACTTCAAGCAATTAATAGATCATCTATCTATTTCTTATAAGCTATATTCATCTATTCACTCATGGTCTATATTAAGTCAATATCTTTATAAATGTTTTAAATCTCCGATGGTACACAGATAACAGTTTGATTGCGAAGAGCGATACTTAAAAAAGATATTTGTCGAAAAAACTTTGATATTGCTCATTAAATATCGATCAATATCCACATATTTGTTTCTCAGATAAACTCATTTACTAATCTGTTAAAATAGCCGACAAAACAGATATTGACAATAACAAACTAATTAAAATACAAAACAAAAGAAACATTGCACTGTTCAAAAAAAACCCACACACACACACACACAAAAAGTGACCAAAAAAAATCATGACAATCATACACATTGAGTTATTTCTATATTGATGCTTAACATAAAAAATAGATCATGAGAAAAAAAAAAGAACAAAACAAAATCAATTGTTTATACATCAGCATATTGTTTTCTATATGAATTTTCTTCATCATCATCATCATCAATATGTAATAAAATATTATGCTCATTATCAAAATGATTTGAACGAAAATCATATAAACGTTCTTTAGTCGGTGTTACACGACCAGCAATTTTAACAATATCTTCTTCGATTTCATTATCATCATCACCACTATCAATATCCCATAAACGTTGTGATAATGAACGTTGATCCATATGATATCGACGATATGGAGATTGATAACGATGTGATGTTGATCCTGGTTGTAATAAAGTTGAATGCCATAAATTATTACCTGCATGTGAACGCATTGTTCGATAAGGATCTGCAAAAAGATATTGTTGTGATTGTGGTGAATAATATGGAGGTGTTGTTGGTGGAGGTGGTGGTGGAGGATAAATATGTTGATATGGATATTGAGAATATCGAAGATCTGTACCAGAATGCATTCGACGTGTTAATGGTACAGATGATGATGGTGAATTAACAAGTATACGCATTTGAACAGGTGTTGATGTTCGTGGACGTTCAGAATTACATAAAATTGGTATAATTGTTTCATCACGACGTGGAGGATGATATGATGAATAATACATTGATGATGCTGGTCGCACATCAAAACTTGCATTTCTATATAAATCTGATCGATGTTGAGGACCACTTGTAATAACAGATGTTACAAAATCTGAAGCAATACTACTCGATGTTGGCTAGAAAATACAAAACAAAAAGAAACAAGAATTTGAATAATTAAAGAATATTTAATAACAAAAACAAAAAATTGAAACTTACATGTCGTTGTAATAGTACTATAGGTGGTTTTAATCGTTGTTCTTTTTGATGGATCACATCAGATATAGTTTCATTGACTTTTTTGTCATTTGTACTTAATCCATTTTGAGTTTTTGAATTCGTTTGTATATTTTGTTGTTCTTCATGAATTAAATTATCAATTTTTTCACTAGATGTTGATTTATCTGTTGTTGTTACTTTAAATGGTCCTTTTGGTGTTCGTGTAATTGGTAAAAATGTTCCACTAGCACCTAATTCATATGATAATTCACTACCATTTGATAAAGTTTGTTGTAATTTTTTTTCACGATTTAATTTTTGTTTCGATATATTATTTTCTTCGAGAAGTAATTCTTGATCATGTATATCATTTGTTGATGCTAATTTATTACTATATAATGTTGTTGGTTGAATATTTACTTTTGTTTTATATGTATCAATATCATTCGTTTTTAATTTTGAATAATAATAAATTTGTGGAAGAAGAATTAATATTAAACATATTGTTGCTATTATAAACATACTAATAATAAATGATGGAAATATAAAAAATGGATGTGTAAAATAATATATAAATGACCATGATAACCATGTAAGATCAATAAAAAAAAATGCAAACATATTTAAAAATGTTAATGTAGAATTATTACCATTAATTGATATTGTTTTATCATCTTTTTCTTTTTCCATATAATTTCTATGACAATAACGATATAAAAATAAACATGTAGCAATTATTGTACAAAAAAATAATTCTAACATTGTATAAGTAAATGTTGCATAAAAACGATAATCAACAATACAACGATTTGAACATGATTTTATTGATGATGATATGAAAGGTTTTTGAAAATCAACTATAAATTCTGGAATATCTGCTGATGATATTAATATATTCATTTGTTGATGTTGACAATTACGTGGAATTGTAAAATACCACCATAAAATACCAATTGGTATTTGTATAAATATAAGTAATAAATAGATTAATAATGATGTTAATTGTTTTGTACGTTTTGATAATATTCTTGAACCTAACCATTGCATTATATAACGACATAATAAAGATGAAAATAATAAAGCATAAGCTAATTGAGATAAAAATTCTCTTAAACCACAAAATAATTCATTAGCACGTATTAAAAAAATGATTATTATTATATAGATAAAACATACACTAAAACATATAAACAAATTTGTTAATAAAAAATGACCATTCAAACGACGATATGATAAACATATAAAAAACAATGATATTATTATTGTACATAATATACCAAATAAACAAAGAATAAACATTGGAAGTATCCATGCATCATTTAATGCAAGTAATGGTGATGATAAAGAATGATTCTCAATATTATTATTATTATTATTATTGAAATCTGATGGATAATGATAAGAATTAACTGATGACATTGATGTATTCATTTAACTAAAACAAGAAGAAGAAAAAAAATGAAGATTAGTATAGAAGTTTCAATTGTAAGATTTGATTACAAGGTTAGAAGATATCAAATTTATAGTCTATGCAACATGCAAATAATAGGCACATGTCCTTCCGATTTGTCTTACCATTCATCTATAGCTTTTATTATGATTTGCTACTGAATTTTTAATAACTATGCTTACTAAATGAATATTAAAAAACAATCAAGATTTTTTTTCGAAACTTAAAAATTTAATATAGCAATGTCAACTTTTGATTAAATACTTATAAATGCAAACATTTTTTTTTTAGTCTCTGTTATACTTCTGAAGCCTAGAAAACTTCTTTAAATCCATTCGATATATATATATACATAAGAATAGAATAATAAATAAGAACATGGCATCCGGAAGTAGAAAACTTTTTCTTTTGGGACGCGTAATATTACGCAAGAAGAATATGTGTCAGATAGCCTTAAGAGCTTTAAAGAATACAGAAGTTTATTGAACGGAAATTTTAATCTATAACCGTAGAGAAAAATAAATATTGCTTTTCTTTTCCAATCTTACTTCATTTCATAGATATTTATATTAATATTCATCACAGTCTTTTTCACTTTGTTGTCTTTTGTATAGCAAATAAATGAAAAAAAAAAGAAGAATGAAAGAAGTACATGTATGTATGACAAGCCTAACAGCAACGAATAGTAAGGTGGCAGTAAAGAAAAGAACACTATGTCTCTCCATCCGATTCTCAAGAGCCTTCTACCTGTGCGCATATGTACATAAATGTATATAGATATATATATATATATATATAAAGGTTGCTTAAGACAACCATTACTATTAGCGTTACCATCATCTTTAAATGGAACTAATGGAATCGATCACAATTTGTATATATATATACATATGTTATATTATTGATATTACGTGATCATCTTCATCATTGTTTTTTATTTTTGTAAATTTGATAAACTTCTTTTTTTTTGTTTCTAATTTGTTTTGCTTTTCGCATTATAAGTATATTTTTTTGTTTGTAAAAAAAATAAAATATCTAATTAGAACAAACTTTTACTCATTATATTTATGTAGGATACATAAAAGTTAAGGCGTTGTTCGATACGCTTCATTATGTTCATCGTATACGCCAATGTCTGTGTACATGTGTATGTGCATCTATGTACTATTACGAATTCTCTCTCATTTTCTTGCATGAAATTAACTGTTTCCTTCATATTGTGTCGCATACATTTCAAGGTAGACTTCATTAAAAATAGTTGCTGTTACTCCATATGTATAACTAGGCGTTCATTAGTGTCTATTGAAGTTATCATGATTCATTTGACAGCACTCATTGTACGTGCTTGTCGATATGTCGATATACATACATATGTATATATATATATGTATACCTATTGTCGATATTCAATCTCAACATATTCATATGGTGAGAAAATGAGTCAATCGTATTGACTTCTGTATATGAGTATGTCTATGTGGGAATATGAATAAGATTATGTACATATGTATAGCAACATCCAAACTTAATATTAGACGACATGCATGACAATAGAAATCATTCTATTTGAAAATAATTGATATCGTTTGTCCTTGAGCAATAGATGAATATACACTTGAAAATAGTATGAGATTTATTAAAGTAAAGAAATATGTATAAACATGAGCTTCTCTTTTTCGTTTCCTGTCGTAATCATTTTCATTTGAATTATAAAGAAAAATATAGAACAACTGTTTTTATAAATTAGATGTTTGAAGATTGTATCTCATAGTAAACAAATTATCAAGATTCTTAGTAATTGCTAATAAAAAACGCAAATTGCAATGTTTAATAAAAAAAAAAAAAACTTTCATTCGTCTTATGAATACATTTTTAAACATATAATTTCAATAATTAGAATGAAATTATTTATTCTTAATCTTACAAATACAATACGACAAATCATAAGCTAAAATCACAATATGACCGTATCGTATTAAATACACGTCCTTCTTACAATCATAAGAGTGTTTATCACCACGTTTGCACACATGTACACCTATTAACATAATCTCGTTTCTAAAGTAGATACAATATGCACACATGCGTTTGTATACATGTCGTCATCTGTCACGGCCATCATTTACTCTCCCAAAAAAAAGAAATCGTCGTAATCGTTTGTCAACCGATGATTTATAAATGATGAGTATAGAACGCAAAAGAAGCCGTTTTAGTAGTTAACTGAGTGTTTTTTTTTATTGTTTAACGTATGTGTCTCGCATGAATTATTACAATAAGAATAGATTTATGAAATCACAATGTGCGTTAATCGTATATATTAACTTAGTATGGCTTCTCCAATAAAAGAAGAGAAATTATTCAAAAGATGAGAAATGTACAGGTGTAAGGTCATACCTGATGGGAATAATTTTTCATTGAATAGATGTGCTCGTATGAGTATTGAAGATGCTGATAGACGAACAGACAGGCAGACAGACACATACATGTATACACCAAACACGCACGAATATGTGTGTAATAGTCATCATCATTTACGGATGATGATAAGAAGAAGACGACCAGCAGCAAGAGTAGTAAAAAAAAGAGAAAAAAAAGAGAAAAAAAAAGCGAACGAACGACAATATGAAGACGTACATAGAGCAGCAAAAAAAATGAGAAGAATGCGGTTTTTTTTTCTTGGAAGCTACAAATTTTGTGGTTTATTTAAGAAGAAGAAAAAAAAAAATGAAGACGAGAGCAAGAGCAAGAAGAAAATTGTGCTTCTAGGCTGATACTCACGATACTAAGAGAATGACTATGAGTGGATGACTATGTCTCTAAAGCATGCCGAATAGAGAATTGAGAGGGGAAAAGAAAAAGGAAACTACTGTTACATTTGTCAAGCAACGAGGAAACAAAGTCGCATAGAAAAAAAAAACGTAAGAGACTATGATAAGACTCTCGTGACACATAAAAATATTTTCAATTATTATCCAATAATAAAGAAGGTCATTGTAAAACAATCTGAACATCGAATTGTTACACTATTCTTCTTTGTAGTTTCATAGTCCAAGTAAAAAAAAAAAAAAAAACATTTGACTTACATAACCAAATGACGATAATAAAAAAAAAACTAAATACGATAGACAAAGATGATGATTGATAATCACCGAAATTGAATAAAAATTTATTAGATAACAAGATGATAGTAAAGAAATTTATTCTTCTTTTTAATTTGCTAATTCAATCATTAACAAAAAAAAAAAACAAAATGAAACGAAGAATGTTTGTATAGAAGTTGAAAATTTTCTCGTTTTGTTTTTCTTTATATGGTTATGTAATGTGATATTTTTCTTTTAACAAGTACACTATCCATTACATAGACAATTGAAAATAATGAGTGTATTTGTTTTTCTCTTTTTGAAAGACAAAAGAAGAAAGATTTAATTCATTTGTTTTTGTTCATATACTCAAACAAAATACCAAAGCATTTCACATACAATTTATTCACTACGACATACATTATTATGATACTTAATTTATTTTTTTTATGCAAAAGAAAAGAAAACAAATTCTAATTAGATACGTGGTACAAATACATACAGGAGACGATAATTTACATTAATCTTAAGTAAAAAAGAAAATTTCAATAAGTATTAAGATTATAATTTTCATCGTCATCATCATCTACATCGACTAAACGAGTAATACCATATTTTATAGTGGCACAAGCGATTACACTCATTCTAAACATACATTTATTCATTTACGCATAGCCGTTCTATTGAGCAATCAAGCACAATTAGATTTTTCTATATACATGAATATTGAGCACAACAAAATTGTCATGACTGTCTAGCATGATGCAGTGCCAGCGTACGAACGAAGAGCAATTTCAAATCATCATTGTATGTCTGCTGCTGCTGTTCAACACAATTAGATTAAACAAAAAAAAAGAAAAGCTCTAGAACTAATGCATATCGAACATAAGTGGATGAAATGAACGAAACAGTCATCATCTTTATTAAACTAGTAAAAATAAAATCAGCATTTTGTATATTAATCATAGATGAGTTTGTGCATGAACAATATAGATGAATGATTTTGTTTTAGACATTTTTTATTTCAACAATCTCATTACTTGATGATGATGATTATTTGTATTTTTTCTTCTATTGATTGTGTTCGATTGTTTGTTGACATTTGTCTAAGAAATAATTCTAAAGCTAAATAACATTTGAATAATAATTGTTAGCTTGCAGAATTTCAATTATATTTCAATAAATTGATGATAAACTTATGGTAATTATTGACATATTTTTAATGTAATTGTTGAAATATTTTTGACAAGTGATTAAAAAGAAAACAAAATAAGTGAAATGAAATATATTTTTATTGTACATTATTATAAGAGAATAAGGATATCTTTGATAAAAATATGATTGTTTTTCTTGTCTTGAAAGAAAATCAAATGTTTCGCTACTATTGTATAGTTTCTAAAGAATTTCTTTATCAGCATCTTATTATTATTGTTGAATGATTAAAAAATGAATGTTCTTTTTTTTTTTTGAAAGCTAATTATTATGTTTATAACGTAAAATTAATTAGTCTTTTTCTTTTCTTTTTTTTAAAAATCTTATTGTTTAATCATATTTATGATGAAGTTTATTTTTTCGTTTAAAAAACAATCTTTGTTCAATATAACAATAATCAACAACATATGATAGGAAATATTTATGATCATGTTTTTTACCAATATAAAACAATAAAATTCCATAAAAGATTAATCATAATTGCACTACACATTGCATGAATATAGATATTTTAATCACATAAAATATTGTTTAAAATTATTGTATATGTGCTAGAATCATCTGTTCGCTTGTTCTTTCATTACCAAGATCCATTAAAACCGATCGTTTAAATGAACGAACCATATAGTGAAACTAAAGAGTTTAAAAAAAATATCAAGAATCTTATTGGATCAAGTGATCTATTCAAAGTTGAGAAACCAAATACGCCACATCATAGAGCAAGTCGAACTCCGTCGAATAGTGTATAGAAATCTTATGAAAATAAGATTTTGAAGAAATTAGAAGGAATTTTTTGATAGACGATAGTACATGGACAACATGATCAGTTGACAACAAGTCTGCATTCAATTGCATTGCTATCAGCAACAAAAAAGCATATATACTTCGTGAAATTGATCGGATTTTGGAAAGAGAGAGACACCAAATGAATCCTGAATTACTAGTTGTTTTGTGTTAATTTGAGATAATCTCTTTTTTTTGGTTTCCTGTTTAAGATGAATTCAGATCGGGTATCAGATTCGATAGCAAGAACTCATACTCATGCAGGACACTATTTAACATCTCCAATCACTCTATCTTTGATATGAAAAATGTGATTTTTCATTGATTTATTAACATTTTTTAGTAATGGTGAATCTCTGTGTTTTCAATAGTATGAATAATAGAAGATATAGAAGATGCTAAATGTATGAATCTATAGCCTGTGAAAACCTCTACGAGACTATACATAAGAAAGTTTTTTCACAAACACTTTCGACTAATACTGAAGATGATAATAATCAGTAACCGATTATATTATGGATACTTACTCGTCTGTTAATAAATTGATTCTAGCTTCTTCAAAATCTTATGAAAATACAATTTCTACACACTATTCGATGCATTTCGACTTGCTCTATAAAGTGATGTATTTGGTTTCTCAATTCTATACAGATCATTTGATCCAATAAGATCTCTTCAAAAAGACAATTTCTTACAGCAATAATAGCAATAGTAGTTCCTAAAATAGCTCCGCTCAGAACATCAGTACCATGATGACGATTATCCGTAATACGTGTGATACCTTAAAACAAAAAATAACTTTTGAATTTGATTTAACTAATTATTAAAAAATAACTAACCAATATATGAGGCTAAAGCAAAACTAATCATTTCTATAATATATGGAAATAATCCAATATTACGATAATTCCAAACTTTATGAATATAAAACTAAAAAATAAAGAAAAAACTCCAAGCATAGAACAATATAAAAAAGAAACAAAACTTACGGCCAAAAAAATTAAACCACAAAAAGCTGTCGATGCATGACCTGATGGAAATGATTGTCTAATAAAAAGAAATACATTAAAGTACATAATCATTTTATTCATCTAAGGTAAAATTCACTAGGTATAGTCCGTATTTATTAAGTATTCAATATTTTCAAATGATGAAAATATAAAGTGTCATCAGATAGTTCATTTTCGAAAAATCTTCTTAAATAATACTTAAAAAGAAATCTTATTGACATAGCTAGTGTGATTTATCAAATAATACAATATCTTTTACTATTCTTGTAATAATAAAAAAGCATAGAATTCTATATCGAAAATTATCGAGCACTGTGTACAAGCATTGACGAGTATTGGAAAAATAGTAATAAATAAAATATTTATTATATTCAAATTGTAATTGCACTTATAAATATTTATTTCACAGTGGGATAGAAATTTTGTATTTCTATCAATTAACTAACATGAAAGACTTCTCTTTACGATTTACAATAGTTGAAAGGTCAATGTCTGGCTTTATTGAAGGATTGTAAAGTTAATCAACAGCAGCTATGCTATTTTCAGGCAGATGATAGTCCGTTCTCAATTAGAAGTCATCTATAAAAAAAAACATGTAGAAAAAGAGGATAGAAGGATCAACAAAAAAACGGAACATATCCGGAACGAGAGAAGTCAGACACCTATGAATGTCTGATCATCTTAAACAATACCATAGAAAAATTACTCATATGTCTGATGTATCAATTGTTTAACCCAAAAGCAAATAGACTTTTTCTAAGGAAGTTTTAGAAATTGGACATTTCCGGACAGAGGAAAAAAGGCCAAACAATACAGTTTTTACCTGGACATTCTTTGGGTATGACATGTACTTATTCGAATAATTTTCTGCTTTCTTATTGTTAGATTTCCCTTTATTGAACTCAACTCGTACTCAAGCCAGAATAATTTCTTTAAGAATTTGTAGTCTTTTTTTGATGTATACACTTCCTATACACATAATTAAAGAACTCATGTGGCTATCACGTTCAAATCTTGGTATAGAATTCTGGCGCGTTTAACTTTAAAAATATGAAAATATTTAATCTGTACAATTCTTTCTATATTGTATAATTTATAACATAAAGAATTAACAGAGGAATACATGTTATCTATTTGAAATTTTCTAATATAGAACTTACCGAATATCATAAGCTCCATCTTTTTCTTTAACAGCAGTACTTGCTTCTCCAATACACGTATAATTAACAATCCATTGAGTAGCATCCACACAAAAATCTTTATAAGTATATTTCTCAAAACATGATGGAATAAAATGTGGTCGAAGACGGCCAACAGAAACTTTGCCAATATTTGTTAAAAACGAATTAGCACCATGAGCAAATAAAAAAACTCCTATTTTTAAAACAAAACAATAAAAATGTCAAAAACAATGCAGCTAATATTGTTAATCATAGAGTGATTATCTTATACTATTTACTTTGTAATATATTTGATTACGATTCTCTTACTTAATCCTCTAAAAAGGCAATAAGAAACTACTTGATATTCAATAATGAGACATTGTTGATATATGATTTTCCATTATATTTCAACAAAGTTTGTCGCGTTCTATGTGGGAGTGTCCTGAGTAGGGTCATTCCTCCTCCTCAGTTTTGAGAAAATTTTCGGTTTGTCCAAGTGAAGTTTCGGCGCTTTATTCAATTTTTTTGTTCACCAATTCTCAAAAAACGCTTGATCCCTTCCCCGAAATCTGATAAAATTTAGCAAAAGTCTTTCAATAGGCCTTCTAAGTGATGAGCTCCTTCTTGACTATCCCGATAATCTCAGGATATTCTTAGGTCTGTGATGAGCTACTGCTTCTAACATGTCTGTCATTATATATGGGAAGTCAAGCGATAAATGCAAAATTCTATCTTATATATAGTAGTCGTAAAAAGTCTTGCTACCACGTAAAGGGAACCTAAAATTGAATCCTTTAGTCTCATATATTGAACTCTGATTGCGAGATCTAATCAAGACTTGATCAATCTTCATACAGAGGAGTTGAAAGGTCAAAGTAAATATAGTCTTGAGATAAAGATATTTCAACATAGAAAGCATATTTTATGACGATAGACCTTTCCTCCAATAGCTCGGCGCTATCTCTATCTTTAATAAAATTCCATGGCAAACATTGTTAGTTTTCCCGACTTATGAAGTAATCTTTCAGTAATCTACATATGAGAGTTGATACATATCATCGAAGAGGTGAAATATCCTACCTGTAACACAATATAGACATATGAATCTTTATTTGTTAATAACACAATTGAGGTTAATACATTTAAAAAGTGGAAAATTAGAAAAGTGTTAAGAAAGCTTTTTTGGGTCCTAAGGGACGAATCAGTGTTTTCATCTTAAACCCTTTGCATTAAGATCTATCCAACTTGCGTTGCTGCTTGTGATCAAGATTTACTGAGCTCTATTTGTAGTTAAAATAGCATGCAAAAAGATTGATGTTGATATATTCATTAACCAGTAATAGGATGTACTGTGAGTACTGAACTTTAGCATTTTTTAAGAGCCGATCTATTATATGATATACTTGAAAAATACATACCGATAATAATATAAAGATTTCCTGCCCATTCTGAAATATTATAAACATTTGAACAAATTTGAATTTTATAAACTACACGTGCTACTTTTTTACGAAATAAATAATACCAACGAACACCTTCAGAAAGAAGTATCTAAATAAATTGAAATAATAATAAACTCTCATAGAAAACAAATTCACTTACAATAATTAATGGTATAACAACTGAATATACAACAAGAAGCCATGTTGGAATAACAGTTTTAACTGGTTTCGGATGATATAAATCCAAATCCGAGCATAGAAAAGGTCGTCGAACTGGTTTTACAAAATATTTAAATAATAGCCATGCTGCAAGTACTATTCATGATAATAAAAAATAAATTATATTTAATAAAACAATATTAAACAAACCAAATAGAAGTGAAACACCATCGAAAATTAATTTTAATAATGAAATTTCTTGTGATATCGATTGATGACTAAAAGAAAAAAAAATCTATTAATGCAATCTGTCACATTTCTTTACTCTCCTTTTACGTAATCCTTCAGAAATACAATAAGGAATTAGTTCAAATATTAGATCAATATGTTATTTATATGTGTATGGTCAGTTGAAACAAGATTCCAAATATCTACCCTACATAATTCAACACTTTTTTTAGATCATGTTTCACGATATATATATATATATATATATATATCGATATTTCTCATGATTGAATTGTGTTCGGATAAGAATGTCTATTAACCTCTACTACTGATATATTCATCGATTCTTATCATATAATTAAAGGTTCTTCTTTACTCATAGCACTACTCATTTTTCTTTTATATTTCGAAGCAATGAAATGAATATGTTAACTTTCATATATTTATGATGTTTTATTGCATAGAAATACCTTCGTACAGGCACTGTAGACTTTGGAGTCCATTTGATTGCTGTTGTAGAATCATCACGAGATTGTTGTCGATTTGATGATGAAAAAGGATGTACTGAACTATCGGTCATTTGCAAAGAAGATATTTTTACTTTATTTATAGAATCAAATCTATAAATGTGAAAAATAGCTTTTTATTATATTCGATAAGAAAAATAAAATAAAATAGACAAATTTTTATTTTTCAAAAATAATGATGAATTTGTTCATGTTCATTATATGGAGTTATGTGAGCATAATTAATATTTCCTTTTGGATGTATTGATGACGTTTTTGGTAAAGAACTTACTGTATAAGGAAGAAATTGTGTAGTATAATGACGCCAATTAAGAATAAATTTAAATGTAAAAAATGCAATAAAAGAACCAAATATACCACCAACTAATACATCTTGCCAATGATGTTGATAATCACTAATACGAGAATAACCTATTATATACAAAAAACATAGCTAATATAAGAAAAAAACAACCATCTGTTGTCTTACCGATATAAAATGCAAGTATAGCGAAACCAACTTGAAATAAATGGCTAAGAATACCAAGATGACGCCATGACCAAGATACATGAATATACATAATCAACCATGTCAAACCATCTGTATTTTACAAGATTGAATAAAATAGAAAATTTAAATATGAAACTTACAAAATATAGATGAAGCATGTCCACTAAAGAATGATCGGCTAAATTAAAAACAAAAAAAAACAGAGTAGTTAAAAAATGTCTATATTCATTGAACAATATAATAAATCATAAAGATCGAAATCAAAAGAGTAAAATTTGTTTTGCCTTTTATCACACACACACACATAGCAAATTACCAATCGACATAAACATTTCATGTCATGCAGTACTTTTCATGTCCTTATCTAAAATATTGAATTGCGTATGAAAAATTTCTTTGTAATAAAAATTGTTCAAGTCTATTGTGTCTCATATGAATGACCTTAATTGACTTTTTTTTTCCAATAATTAGTCAATTACCGTGCTTCTCGTACGGCTGAAACATCTGTATTTTGACATGTATAATCAGTACCATATTGAAGATACGTATTAAATTGATTTAATGATGTAACAGCTGAACAATTGTAAGTAGGATTACATACAGCTCGAAAATGTGGTCGTAATTCACCAACGAAATTTTTTGCAATTTCAGTTAAAACCCATGTAGAAAGATAACCATAGAAAAATATCACTAAATTGATATACATAATTTTGATATAAATTACAAAATACATTTATTTACCTGTAAGCATATATAGATTACGAATAAATGGAGATATATATATTCTTCTGGTTTCAGAGAATTCTAAACGAGTTATAAATTTTTGTCCCGGATACCAAGTAAAATAAAATCGTTTACAAAACTCTGTGATCCACATCTAAAATTACGCATAGATTGTGCTAACAGATTTTTTTTTCTATAATGAAGCAATTAGATAAAATCCAGATAGTGATTTTAATAGTCAATACAGTTTTCTATCTAATGTATTTCATAGATGACAAGTTTCTTATAAAAAATCGAATATGCTAATTTTCATATCGCAGAAGTTTTTATCAATTCTATGGCTTTCTATTAAAAAAGTTCAAAATATCACGAAAAATCAAAAAAAAAGCGTTTTTTTTTAAAGATTTTTATGATAACGGTAACCTTTTAACCAAAGGTCGTAGAACATGCGACGACTCCTCATATTTAAAAAAAAATAGCTTCCACAAAGTCATCTGGGAAGTAAAAAGTATTAGATACAAAACTTCATTGACTATTATAATCATCATATGGTTTTTTTTAGCTAGACGTTTAAAATTGTAGAAAGAAAGAACTCTATACGGTATTGTTTAACTTTTTTTCATCACCTTAAATATATATATATATATATATGTAACATACCCAAAGCATTGGAAGAACAATGGATAAAATAACAGCAGCATACGTTGGTATTGTATTAACATTGTATGGATACTGTATTGATGTATCCGAACAGAAAAAACCACGTGTAAATGGTTTCGCAACATAATGTGAAAGAAGCGTTACAATAAGTACTAAAAAAAAAAATCATTTGAATTTAATATTTTCAAAAAAAAAAGAACATTTACATATTATAAGACTAATTATATCAACAATTACTCTCCATATAGTTTCACTGTGGTGATATCGATCTGTTACTACAGGTGGATTGTTTCGTTGTTGAAATTGTGCTGCAAGCATGTTTGATTCTTGTTCTTCGTCTTGACTTTGATTATTAATGGTATTCGAATTGCTTATTGAAAATGCATGATTTTCTATTTGATGCATATGTGACCGTCAATAGTGGAGACGAAACTTAACGTAGTAAAATAGCAAATGAAAAATAAGTAGTGAGCGATAAAATCGTGTATCTTACATCTACCTGAATGAGTAATAACACAAGCATGATATTGTTCGTCCTTCTTTTACCTTTCAGTATGTTCACATGTGATAACAAGTAAGAAAAGAACGACCTTCTGACGTCAAAGATATTGAAATATTATTGGGCGGTGGCCTGATTCAAATATGTTCTCATTATACAGGGAAATTTTTATTTTCGTCATCTATTATATTAATAATAGTTATATAATGTTTTGCTTAATGATGGTTAAAAAAAAACGAATATTATCGAAAGAATAACAGTACTCAACTGTTATTTCATTATGATGATGATAATTATTGTTGAGATATATGCAGTAAATGATGCATAATGAATTCTTGTTCCATTTTATTCAACTAATAGTTTGTTTTTTTTTTTACATTTTATTGAGTCTTTAGCAAATGTTGCACTCTCTCTCACGCTTTTTATGTTGAATCTTCTATTCACATAATTATATTAAGAAAATTGTTAGAATTCGATTTGTCTATTGCTTTAAACATATCATCTAACTATATGCTGCTTAGTTATCTTTTAATCAATATTAATAACATGTTATTATTAATAATTTTGAAAAGTTTTCAAATCTCATCATTTAATAATGTTATACAGTTCTATTTATAGCTTGAAAAAATTTCTCATAGGACGATGTATATCGAAATTAATAGATACAATCGACATGAATATTAGTTTTTTTTTTATTTAGAAATTCAAGAGAAAAAAAAATTCGTCAAAATTTCTCTTTTGATGAATCGAAATGAAGAGACATGCAAGACATAGTCAATTGAATAGTATAGATAAAATCAAATAACGTCTCTTACTGTTCGTTTGACATTAGTTTATTTTGTTACATGAACAATATATTGTGCAAACAATAATGATATTTACATAAGCGAAATAAATTTCGAATAGTCAAAACACATCGTATACTGAACGAAATATCCATTAATTTATTTTGCAAACAGTCCATTTATGATAATAAAAAAAAATATTTATTAAAAAATAAAATTTACTTTTATAAATTATATATTGAGAAAGAAAGAATAGAATCAATTTTATTTTTTAATATTATGTGTTTAGATGTCACTATTTGTTTTATTTGAATAAGGAATCTATAGAATTGTTGTTTTGTATATGTTACGTAACATGAATAATGATTATCATTTTACGATTTCATCAAATAAATGTTTAGCAAATCGGTCTCGGATCGTTGTATCTACTATGGATTTATCTAATACACAGTTTGAAAATGGCTTGTCATGGGATATAGTGGGATATTGTGCAAGTGCAATAGTTTTCTTTATTTGATCATCGGACATTGCTTCTATACTATCGCGATGGATTGATAAATAGTCAATAGCACGAGGTTGATACAAATATTTGACTGAATGATTTGAAATTGTATGTCGTAAGATATAATGCTCGATTATGATTTCATTTTTTGTGAATTGATATTGAGTATTAGAACAAAATTCTTGATTTTCTAACATAACAGAAGCTTGTAAATTTCTACCATATTGTTCGGTTAATAATCTTGGAAGAGTATCATAAGGATTTTGTGGAATTAAATATTCATTTATATTAATAACTGTTATCCATTCTGATATATCTCCATAACGTAAAAAACAATCATATTGAATTTCATCAATAGAATCATCCCATTGAATAATATCAATTAGACTAGGATACTCTTCTTCATACAAATTAATCGTAGAATAATATTGATTATTTGTATTTGAAATATTATACACAACAAATTTACTAATACCAACTAAACGATGATATTCAATCCATTGAGTAAAATATGTTAAATCATTGTATAATAAGAGAGTACATAATGTTAATGATTGTTCATTTTCTTCTGCCCAATTTGACCATGGAATATCAAGAAAACCTTGAAAAAGTATTTTTCTTGATGTAGAAAGATAAATTTTTATTTCTTGATCTATCGTTCGATTATACCATAAACGTTGAATTATTGAATCTGGAAGTGAACATTCATAAAAGAAAATCGAGTTTTTAGACTTTTGAACATTAAATGTATATGCTGGAGTAATCGAGTGATCATCAAATAAACACCAAAAATTTAAATTTAATATTTCCTGTTGTTTTGTAATAATGAAGGTTGCTGAACCACTTGAACGCAATCGACTTACACGTACACTTAAGACTTTTAAATATGGATCAATTATTTCAGTTGGAATCACTGGTATATTGAGATTATGATTTGCAATCAATTCTGATAAACGATAAATACTATTAGGAATCCGAACTGATTGAGGAAAGTAACCAACAGATGATGTTGAGAAATCTGTTGGCTTATTGGACAAAACAAAACTTGAAGCAACTAAAAGCCATATAAAAATAAATATTACACAGCTTGATTTAACGAAATATTTCATATATTTCTTTTTAAACATTTTGTTTATATGTAATTGATCGGAATATAAGTGATAATGACTAATAAATTGCATCATTTAATATTTATTTTAGCAGAAGGTTTTCAACATCGTACTATATTTACTTATTTGTCAAAATAATCACTTGAAATTGTACCTACCAACAAGCACAGTATGCAATAATCAATAAAGAAAAAGAAATAGATTATTCATGTGAATGACGGAGTAGATGCTTGATTTATGTTCGAATATAAATGAAAAATTCAATAAAAAACGACTGTTCTATTAAAATAGCGAAAAAACTAAGGATTAAATGTATATAAACTATCAATTAATAGATTGAAAGGCATACTCTTGATCATCTAGCAAAAAGATGCAAGATTAAACTTTTATTGAAATTATAATTATGATTTCAATTTAGACTTTGTTCATTACTGCACACAGAGAGAGAGAAGTATGCATCGCGAGGAACTATGCACCGCCATGCAGCGATGCTGAAATAAAATGTTCGTTGTGTGAATAGAAAGAAGGCTTTGTGAACAGTTAAGCACTTCAATTACGAATACATATATATATAAATTTTTATAAATGATGAAAGTTTTTAGGAATAAAACACCAAGTTTTGTTACGAATTTTTAATTTCTTTCTTAAAATTGAAACTATTTAAATCTTTAAATTTTATTATTCAATTGAGAAATGTTGTACTAGAATTTTCGTATTAAAGTAAACTAATGCCAAGGTGTTAAAATTATTTTTCATTCTAATAAATGTACAAAATGTAATCTATGGAGGGTTGTACGAACTTACTACTAGAAGCTTCTCAAGTAAAACTAATCTCAATTGAAATTGTAGATACAATATTGGTAAGCACTAAATCTTTTGTTTTATTGTTGTTACAACAGGACTATACGTTTCAATATATAAATTTATAATTTATATACGTTTTATCGTTGACCTTTTCATTATTTCAACAGAGCCGATTTTTAAAATTTTTCATTTGTTTTCGAAGTCATAATAGATAGTTAGCTTTTGATTTATGTTCGAACTTATTTTTCTTCCGATTATCTAAACATTATTATAATATCGACAAAAGTCGAAAAATAATCATTTTCATATTCGAAACGTATAACTTTTAAAACACTTACACTTTGAATTTAGTACATCAAAAAAATGAGACATAGACATATTTTGACATATGAAAAAGCCAAGTGTTATAAAAAGAAAGAAAAGGAATGTAGTAGAGTTCGTTGTTCTCTTCTTTTTTCTAGATATTTACATGTTAAAATGAAAGTCCATTGAAATAATATAAATAAACACATTTACTTGTGGTGATTTTTGTGAAGGTTAACAGTTTGTGTTACCATAGAAAAATTAACTTTCAACAATGAAAATCAAACAGAATGAAGGGAGTATTTGTCTTTTTTTAATGTTGCAAATAAAGATAAGAAAAATCTATTATAATAAAATGTTTTTTATGGCTTTTGTGAGCAAAAGTTATGCATTACAGATTGAAAAAAAAAGACTGTTAACTAATCTGCAAATGAAATATTTTAACTTTATTAATATAAAAAGTTTTGATAAACATCATGACAAGATGTGATCACTTTCTCTCTCTCTCTCATAATAGCAAACAGAAAGAAAACATACCTAAAAAGAGAACTCATAATCATTTTAACTGTGATAAAAATAAAAGAATTATGCAGAATATCTAACAGAAATAAATAACAACAACTGTCCTATCTTCCTATAAATATCTTGATACTTCTAATAACATGTTAAGATATAGAATAAAAATTATTCTACTTTTATGAAGCTCATATAACTACTATATGTTCTGTCAAAGTAACATCTATAAAGATTGTTTCATAAATTTTGGATTATTTTGAGTTTTCTTGCACTTTTTTGAATCTATAAGGTTGAATAGACATAAAAAAAAACATATGTTTTGAAGTAATATCTAAGTTCTTATTCAAAATTTAATGTTCTCAACTGACGTTCTTATTAAGACTGTAGATTATTAGTAAAAATGTTAAATCAATATTACCAAAGGATACAACCGGATTAGAATGTAAATCTGCCAACTCTCATATGTTTCATTTTCAATAGATTACAAAGATAAAGCATAAAATTATGCATATTCTAATGAATGTAAAAAAAATTCAGAAGATTAAATAATCGTAGGGAGTCTTTCTATGTGTTTTTGTAAATTTTCAATAATAATAATGGAAGCCATAATTTTTCTCTTTTGTAAACTCAATATAAAACTTAATATATATCGACATAGCATGTTATAATTTACAAAATGACATAATGATCATGCTCGTTCGATTAGTTTGTCCAGGGACAGACAGAATAACTCAGTACCTGTCTGTTTCTGCATAAGTTAATTGTAGAAACATAATCATTGCCGTTTTGTAGAATATAAC